GTGTGTGTGTGTGTGTGTGTGCGTGCGTGAATTACCTAGACAAATACTACCACAGTGCCATTACAATCAGCATAATCAGCTTTTAGTTTACTTAATATATAAATTATAGAACAATATTTTTTTAGTTTTTGTTTGCCTGTCTCCCTGTTGAATGGTTTGATTGAATTTCACATGAACCTTCCCACCTGTACACCAGGATTAAGCATCTCTTCCTCCCTGCTGAGGACAGATTGAAGACTGTATGCAAGAACAAGCAGGGAAGTACGGAGTTTTCTGAATGGGTGGGAGATGCTACATTGTCAGTGTTAATGGTGATAGAAAGAAGATATCAGTATTTTTGCTTGATAAGCATTTGACAGTGTAGATCTGTGCAGAGAGGAAGTTTAAACATTATGCAAGTCTATCTCATTAAAAGCTGAATCTCTCTAGTAATAAAATAGTGTTTGGAAAGTGAATGCAGGATCTGGCCACATCTGCATCGACCATTCATTCTGGTGTGTGAGAGTCTTGTGTATATTTTGTACATTGTGACTTGTGTAACTTAAATGCATGTTAGAAGAAAGTTAAGAGGTTTCTGTTGTTCAGATTCTCTGCCATCTAGTCTTCGTTTTTTGAAGTCTTTCTCCCATTTGCCTCAGCTTCACGTTGGCTCAAGCTCCCTCTTCATACTCTCACCATGTCTATCTTCTTGCCTGCTTGTTGCGTGGTTGAAGATCAGAGCAAATGGAGGAGTAGGGGAAAGACAGAGGGGGGCACATGCCTTCACCCAAAATTTAGGGGGGCTGACACACTTCCCCCTTTTTTTTCAGGACTTTTGCAATACTTTACACACTGTGTTTTATAACTTCCCAAGATTTCCTAGTTGTTTTCAGGTCTCATGCTCAACCAATTTAATTCTTTGAGTTTATGCAAAGATTTCACTGAGTATTTTTACAGATTTAAATTGCCTTATCCTTGCATTTTTGAGACCAAAACATTGATTTCTGTTGAATTACCATCATACAGAACTATGATTTTTTTTCCAGGCCATGTTTTTTTTTTCTTAAAAAAAAAAAAGGCTAGCAGAGTTTAAGGCCAGGGACCAATTCCATCTAATTATGGCTGTAATACAGCAGCTGCCAGCAAGAACCACACAACACTGTTCCAGATGAGTATGTGGGAAGGGAAGGAACAGCTTATGAAGTTGTTTTAAAAGCTGTAAACTTGCCTATTGAACATTCTTGATAGAGATCAGCCTTATCTCAGCACAATCTGTGCATAAAGATTACAGGTAAGTGCTTGATAACAGAGCATCTTGTTCCTTACTGGCTGTGCACCCAGAGGAAACTGATTTTAAATTATAAAGATTTAAAAAAATAATTTCAATGGGGAAGAAGGGTGTTGATGGAATCGAGTATCTACGGTACTCTAGATAGCCCAAACCAGTGATGGCTATCCTTTTTGTTGTTGTGTGCCGAAAGCGCATGTGCACCCATAATGCAATGTGTGCTTGCCCCCCCTGCATGCCCCATGCATGCGTGTGTGACTCCCATGCTCCCCACGCATATGCACGCTCCCCCTGCTCCCCTACTCCCTTGTGCATGTGTACGCAACCTCCCCACAGGAGTCCTGCCCCCACCAAAGCATGCGCGATCCTATGCATGTGTGCACCCCCCAGCCCCTGCGCATGCACGTGCATCTCCCACATGCGCCCCTCCCCCCACGGATGTGCAGCAGAGACCTGAAAACCAGCTGGTTGGCAGGAAGCGGGGTGCATGCGTGGTGGAGCTGAGCTGGGGCGCTGACTCACATGCCCGCACAGTGGGTTCTGTGTGCCACCTGTTGTATACATGCCATAGGTTCGCCATCACGAACCCTAACCCTAACCCCTAAACCTAAACCTTTGCTTACCGTAAGGCTCATCTATTAGGTAGATTTTTTAAAAATTATTGATGTTCATGAATCAATCTGAGGTTAGTCCTTTACTTTTTCATTTTTAAAATCTGATGAACTCCAAAGACGTGGCTCCTTCATTTCATAGCCTAAGTCACTGGGCCTTACTATGTATTCTTTTCTCTGCCAAGATGAATGCTATTTTTCAATTGCCACTGTCTTCTACCAAGCACCCAGTGAGAGACTTACTTGGAAGTTGAGGCTTCTGTAAGCCTTGGATACCAGCCTTTGGCAACCTACTAAAATCTTTATATGTAAAAAGTGACCTGTGGCCCACTAGACACCCCCAGACCCTATCATTCATGGTCAATAGGTTGCTTGAGAGCCTTGGTTGCTACTGTCCTTGTTCAAAATATCTAAAGATTTGGTTATGGATTTTCCATTGACTGTTTTGTCCATGGATATTCCCAATCGTCCAGGTCATAGTTCTCCCAAAGGTACTTTTTTCCAAAAAAGGAACTGTTTTTGTTTTTTTGCTTTGAAAACATTTTACTTCTTAGCCAAGAAGCATATTCAAGAGAAGTAAATTGTTTTCAAAAGGAAAAAAACCCAAGGAAGTCTAGTTGCCTTTTAGAAAAAGCACCCTTGAGACATTGACTATTTTGTTCCACGTGAGGCTTCTGCCATTCCCCTGGAATGACCAATTCCAGCCTTTAAGGATCAGTGTTTAGCCACTTATGAAGAAGAGTTTCTAGCTGCTCCAAACTTAACTTTGTAGCAATGTACAATTTTGAATCCCACAATAGCAATAGCACTTAGATTATATACCACTTCACAGTGATTTACAGCCCTCTCTACGCTGTTCATAGAGTCAGCATATTTCCCCCAACAATCTGGGTCCTCATTTTACTGACTTTGGAAGGATGGAAGGCTGAGTCAATCTTGAGCTGAACAGGATCAACCTGGTGGCAGTCAGAAGAATTAGCCTGAAATACTGCATTCTAACCACTGCACCACCAAGCCACCTCTGCTTCCCAAGACTACAGACAATTTACCTACAATTCTTTGCAGATCATAAACCTGGTAGAGAAAACCTCTGATCTCAAACCGTAACTTATGGGGCCTTACAAACTCCTGACTTTGAACTCTTTCCTGATAAGTCTTTTGTGGTTGAGGGAGTCTGTTTAAGAGGGACTGCGTTTTTTTTTTAATCTGCTAGGAAGAACCCTTGTTACCTTCCTTGGGAGCCAGTAGTGGGATTCAAACATTTTTACTACCGGTTCTGCGGTGTGGCGTGGTGTGGCTTGGTGGGCATGGCAGGGAAAGGATACTGTAAAATCCCCATTCCCTTCCCACCCCATTAACCTGTTTTCCTGCTCTGTTCTCCTGTGCAGGACAACAGAAGAAGACCCAGACTATCAGCTGGGACTCCAATCATCTGGGATTTGGGAGGCAGAGAATAGATGGGGGCAGAGCCAGCCAGAGATGGTATTTGCCAGTCAGTGGTGGGTTTCAAAATTTTTTGGAACCTCTTCTGTAGGTGTGGCCTGCTTTCCGGGTCCACTGGTGGAACCTCTTCTAACTGGTTCGGNAAGGGAAAAAAGAAAAAGCAATGTTTACAGGTCTCAACCTCCAACCTAGAGTGGCAGTGTAACTTCTTTTCCCTCTAAGATTACTACACTCTTTATATACCTTTTGAATCTTCTTTATGTTTCAGGCTTAGAAGAAACAAAGTTCTGAAATGAAACCAAATAAAAAGAAAAAATCCATCCCAGCCAATATTGTAGAAGTAAAGGAAAATATTTAATTCATAGATAAAAAAAGAAATAGAAGAAGAAAATCCGAAACTTTCACTTTAAAAAGTAAAAAATGTTCACAAAACTTCCCTCGATAGAAAAAAATAAAATAAAATAAACCACACTGTCCAATAATGCTTAATTTCGCCACTTATTTCCTTTTCTTTACCAGTTTAATTAAATTCAATCTTTTTTGGGCAGTCTTTTATAAAAATAAGATTTCCTCACCAAATGGGCATACTTTCTCTTTCCACTTTTCCTCCCGTTGCAGAGCTGTCCTGATTTTAGCAGCTTGAGGCTGTGCTTTTTGTCACCGGCTAGAAGAGATTCTCTTAAATCAATCAGGGACCTTGCAACGTCCCTGAGATCAGCAAGACGTACTCTTCCCTGTCACCATCTCTTCGGGACAGTTTAGGTCCAGATGGACCGTCCAGCGGCAAAAGTGTCGACTGCAATCCCCGGAGCTCCGAGATTGCATGTCGTATCGTCGCGATGTCAGCACATTTTTCCCAATGTGCTTATTTCTTAAGGCCGATGACAAACCTGCATAATGTAGCACCTTCAGAATCAAGAAGCCGCCATTTTTTTTGGTTCATAAGCAGCAGACAAATGATCTGGTCAGCTGGGAAGCAGCTGGTTTTGAGGCTCCCTCCACAGCTGCCAAACTAGGAGAATTTCCCTTTCTCCTGTTTTTAAACTGTTTATGGGGATGAAAATTTGCGTGGCCATTTTGGGGTTGATAAAATGGGGAATTGTGAGAGCCTCACCCACCCTCTTTAATTCCAGGGTTCTCCTCTTGGTAGCCAACAGTTCCTAGAGCCTTTGTGACCATTTTTATGTTAGTAGCAAGAAGAAATGAGGTGCGATGACTCACTGGTTAAAGACACTGAGCTTGTCAGCTGGAAAGCTGATAGCCCAGGTTTGAGACCCAAGCACTGCTCGACAAGATTCCTGCCCCAGCTCCTGCCCACCTAGCAGTTTGAAAACACCTAAACGCGAGTGAATGAATAGGTACTACCTTATTGGGAACTTAACAGCATTCTGTCACACACCTCTGGCATGTAGCCATGCTGGCCACAAGACCATGGAAATGTCTTCAGACAATGCTGGCTCCCTTGGCCAAGAGACTGAGATGAGCATTGCGCCCGTCGGACATGACTGAACAGGGAAATCTTTACCTTTAGCAGGAAGAAACGAATTTAAATCTTCCACTCGGTCTCTTGCTTGTACAGTTAGTTTAGCCTCAATCAATCCCGAGGTTGATTGATTCTTAATCCCCACCAGTTACTGAGTTATACTGTTTCCGTGCTACCCCAATTTTCCCCTGAGCTCAGTTTTATATATCTTTTCTTTCCCAATATCCATAGCTATTACCCTGCAGCAAATATCAAATTTGATGAGCTTGCAAAAAACCAGTGTAGAGTTCTCAGGTATGAAAAACTCTTAGAGTGTGAAAATAAAGCAAAGAAGCTTAATGCTGCACAGTAAGTCACGTACAAATGGGCAAACGAGGATATAGATGACCAAGACTCTTTCCTCTTCTATACATTCAAACATTCATGTGTTGTTCCTTTATTATTAAATTATCCAATTGACCTTACAGGTATACCAAGATCCTGATGAAAGATATCGATATCTTAAATTCAGCGGGCAAAATGGACAAGATGAGGTTGTTGAACATCCTGATGCAGCTGAGGAAGTGTTGCAATCACCCGTACCTGTTTGATGGTGCTGAACCAGGCCCTCCTTACACCACTGATACCCATTTAGTGACCAATAGTGGCAAAATGGTTGCCCTGGACAAATTACTATCGAAACTCAAAGAACAGGGTAAGACAAGACAATCTCCCCTTCCTCCCAGTTTTGGGCTAGTGGGACCCCTTGTGGGACTTTGTGTCAACGCTGAAGCTGACCTGGGTGAAGCTATTTTCAAGCTTCAATGTTGCCACACTGAAGGGAGGGATAAGTAGGGTGTGTGTGTTAGAGATAGCGGGGTTTGTGTAGTCAAAATAAAATACTTTCTCCTGGGAACCAAGGGCGTTCTCAATCCTGGCCGGAGGAAGGAGGAGTGATGTCATCAGATCAGCAGATACTGCAGTGTTTGGGCCATGTGACTGATTGTTTGGGGTTGAGGGAAAAACTTTTACTTTTCATTAGGTGAAAACCAAGAGACCCCTCAAAGTTGATTTTCACCAGATATGTGCTAATATGATATTTCCAATAATTATTATTTGAGGAATCTATCTGCTTCGGAGTTCTTGCTTGTAATGGATCTATTATTTGAAACTGTGACACTTGGTTGTTGTGGGATTCTGTGTCCCCTCCCCACTCTCCTGGGGGCTCTTCATAGGGCTTTCAGCCCTCTAAGCGGTTTACAGATAGATAGATAGATATATGTGTGTATNCCTAAACCACCCAAGCATCCACACAACAGACCAAGTAGTGCTGTCCAATAGCTCACTGATGGTGGCCCTTTAGTTCATTGTTGAGTGCAATTATAGCTCTGGGACAAAAGGCATTCAGATGTTTGGTCCTAGTTTTAATTGTTCTGTATCTTCTGCCAAAAGGCAACAGTCTAAAAAGATGGTAAGCAGGATGGGAGGAGTCTCTGAAAATGCTGTGCAATTTCCTCAAACAGCGAGATGCGAAGATGTCGTCCAGGGCTAGTAGCTGGAGCCCAATGATATTCTGGGCAGTTTTAATGATTCTCTATAGAGCTTTTTTGTCTGCTGCAGAGCTGCTCCCATATCATGCAAGAATATGCTGTATGTCAGGACACTCTCAATAGTGCTGCGATAGTAGGACCGAAGTAGGTGCTGAGATAGATTTATTGATCGATTTATCGGAAATTTCTACTTGCGCTAACTTAAGCACTGAGAAAACATGAAATTACAAACATAATAGTAAAATGCATTTTTTTTTACATCTGCAGGATTTTGACTCGTGGTTTGATACTAAAAATTGTCTTGGTGATCAAAAACTTGTGGAAAGACTCCATGCGGTAAGTATGGTGGTATTTCTTGATAGAAGTTTACTGGGCCATCTTCCATGCATCATCACAGACTCAGCAGTGCATGGTTGAGACCTGTGTGACTTTCATTGCAACCATCAGGTTGTTCAGATATAAACTCCTTCCCCAAGGCTCATCTCACATCACTTTTGGTGAAGATTTTTTTAAATAAAGGACTTCAGTTGACAAATGTGCATACATTTCTAATTTATTGCTTTTTTATTGATATCTGATGTCCCACTCTCCTCCTGTTTTGTATATGTTTGGGAGGATTCTTTAAATTGGTAAATATTTATTACAAAGGGCAGGGGCCATCTGACCTGCTTATAGTTTTTCAGAAATGCACATTTTAAAACAAATAACTTTCAAATCTGTCTACAGTGCTTTACAGTGCTTTTCAACTCGGGGTATGCATAGTACCTGCCAGGTACGCATACCACGGGTTGAAAAGCATTGATCTAGAGTAATACCAATAGCACGTAGATTTATATACAGTACTTTACAGCCCTCTCTAAACTGTTTACAGAGTCAGCCTATTGCCACTCACAATCTGGGTCCTCATTTTACCGACTTTCGAAGGATGTAAGGCTGAGTCAATCTTGAGACAGTGAGAATCGAACTGTCGAACTGCTGGTAGTCAGCAGAAGTAGCCTGCTGTACTGCATTCGAACCACTGCGCCACCACAGCTCATAATGTAGCATTGCAGCATCTATAGAATGTATTGGTTTGTGTCTTCCCAGCATGGCTTTTGGAGGAATATATTTCCTTTTTTTAAAAGCAAAGCATTCTATTTTCTCAATTAAAAATGAAAGGAGTTTACACAATTCCCATATCAGTAAAGCTGGGGATTATGGGCAATGTAGTCTGGTACTTAAGGTAGATGGCAGAAGCTTCATAGTAGTCCTTGGCTAACAGCCAATTGTTTAACAACTGTTCAGAGTTAAAAACAGACTTAAATCTACTTACAAAGTTGTTCTCGAAGTTATGACTGCTGCTCTGCACCCCCCCCCCATGGTCACATGATTGTGTTTTGGCAACTGGCTCACATTTACGACCAGTTGCAACATCCCGCAGTTATTTGATGACAATTTGTGGCATTCTTCCCAGTTTCCAGCCAATAGGCCCATTCCAGAGAATGGATTCACATAATGTTCATTGGATTGCTTAATGACCGTAGTGCTTTCCTTTACAAGCAGTGTAAAAACAGTCATAAAATTGAGTCACATAGTGCCTTGATCTATGACCACAGCACAACAATTCCAGCCCCAGTTGTCATACACTGAGGACTACCTATATAGGGAGAAATGTTTGAAAAATCTGGGATGTCACTAAAATGTTCCATGTGCTTCTTTTGTTTTTTTCAGGTTTTGAAGCCATTTCTGCTACGGCGCATAAAAGCTGAAGTGGAAAAAAGCTTGCCTCCTAAAAAAGAAGTAAAAATTTATCTGGGCCTCAGCAAAATGCAGAGGGAATGGTAATTTTAAAAAATCTTATACCAGGAGAATGTCCCAGAAGCTCTTTTAAGCTGTCCTTAATACTTCTTTTATATTTTTCTATGTGGCTTGGAAATTTTTTAAGTAAACTATTTTAGCTTAAGCTATAGTTCTTTTCTCCACTTCAGAGGTGGTATTCAGCAGGTTCTGACCAGTTCTGGAGAATTGATGGCGGAAATTTTGAATAGTTCAGAGAACCGGTAAGTACCACCTCTGACTGGCCCCCGCCCCCATCTATTCTCATTCCCTCCCAATCAGTCCCAGCTGATTGGGAGGGAATGGGGATTTTGCAGTAACCTTCCCCTGTCATGCCCACCAAGCCACGCACACCAAGCCACGCACACAGAACTGGTAGTAAAACATTTTGAATCCCACCACTGCTCCACTTTTCACTTTAGTCTGGGACGATAATACAGTATTAATCTACATTACATTTCTCTCCTACACCAAACATTTGACATTCATTTATTTATTTTAGGAAATTTATACTGTCGCCTATTTGCACGTGGCTAAATAAATGCTGAAAATCCAAGTTATTATTATCACTAGATTAGTATTCCCCAACAAGATGTGTTGGCTCTTTTTTCTTCTGGAATTCTGAGACATTTTTTTTTAAATTAAATTTTTTTAATTTTTAAATTAAAACAAATACAGCATACATGCTATAGAAAGTGTATCAGTTGGTTACAAATAGACTTTTGTGTATCTCTTCCACAGTCAACAAACATAATTCATGTTAACTCGAGCATTTTAACTCAAATATTCATACATATCACCATCATCATATATCCATTTTCATTTGACTATAATTATTATTTTAAATAATAATAATAATAATAATAATAATAATAATAATAATAATAATAATAATAATAATAATAATAATAATA